CGGGCGCTTCAGCGCCCCCAGCACCGGCATCCTGCGGCCAGGACCGGGCGGGCCCTCGCCCCACAGCCCGGGCCGGCCGCAGGGGGCGGGGCAGAGCGCTGCTCGGCGCTGCACGTGCCCCGCGGGGCCTGGGCCGGAAGTCCCCCCTCCTTTCCCGCATGCGGCGGCGGATGTGACATCACGCGCAACCCCCGGAAGGGGGAAGCGGCGATTTCCCGTTGCTACAGCAACCCCCTCTCCCAGGCTGCAGTGACGCGAGCTACCGTACCGCCCCGCCTACTCGACGCGCAGCAACAGCCCGACACGGCCGCGGGAGATACCGTACTTCCTCGTGTAAAACACGCGCCTTCCTAGGCAGGACCTCTCTGCCCCCGGGCATCTCCCCGCGCTATAGGAAGTGGAGAACCAAGACGGGGGGGGGGAGAAAAAAAGGGAAAAAGAAAAGCAAGCAAGCCAGAGCCGGTGTTTTCCACGGGAACCAGCTTAAAAAGAAGAGCTGGGCGCAGTGGCAGGACACCACTGCCGGATCAAACAACACAAACCCGTGCTCCCGGTTGGGCAGGGGCCAGCGCGTACCAGGGGAGGGCCCCCCGCTGTACAGCTTGTAAGGAAACGAGCATAACTGCGTGGCATTCGTTTCTTTTTAGAAAAGCTAACCCTGTATTCACAATATCTGACACATGAACAAGGCCTGCTTGTGCTGAAGTTTCCTGCCCAGAGTACGGGGGTTGGGACTCAGTCTTTCGAGGTCTCTTCCAGCCCTTCATTTCTGTGCTTCTTCCTACAAATAGTAACCAACCATGAAAGCACACGGGGGACTTGGGAATTTGAGAAAAGCATAATCTGCTTTATTTTTTTTAAGTTTTTTTTTATTTAAATAAGGAGAATTCTTTCATATGGAAAGAGCTAATACAATCACATATTTGAAAGGAGAAACAATAGGTACTGAAAATGAGGGAAAAAAGGGCAATAAAGAGTGTGCCGCAACTGGCCTGGTGATGCAGTGATTTGAGTTCCGGTCCAAGGAAAAGTTTCCAAAAAATATAATAAACAGGTTGCACGTTACACATTTATCCATCGTCTGCCCTTTCAAATATCTGGTCTACATGAAAAGACAAAGAGAGGAAAGGCCAAAAAAATTTTACTATACAGGTCATGAGGTTAAAAGCCTGAAGGAGTACAATATCCCCTTGAGAAACAACGAATGCGATTTATACAGAACCAGAGAAAGGATCCAGCTAGGGACAATGCCTTGACATGCTACAGAGGGAGCAGGTGAGTGCCTCGTTGCTGCTGCTACCGGCGATTCCCAGCGGTACCGGTCAGGAGGTGACTACAGACATCTTGAGCCAAGGATGAATCGTCAAACCCAAGGTGGGGGGAGGACAGGGTTGTGGCCACTACGGGATCTTGGTGGCCTATGGATTTAAAAATGGAAAAAGCCACACACACACACACCCACACACACCACATGGGGACTGGTTCTGTCTCTTTGAAGTCGCAACTCCACTGCTTTAATTATTTGATCAACTCTTTTGGGCCACAACTACGTTAAGAGGATTTAGATGCCTATGGTTGGTGTAATTCCTTGTTCGTAAGGTAATCTGACGAGGAAACTGGGCGGTTGTCTGTCAAAAGGAACCGACGTTAAAAAAGAAAAAAGGATTTCATCTGTGCTTGGCCGGTCAGAAGCAAAACAAAAGGAAGGAAGACAGTGTAACAGGACAGATCTTGGCATGCAGTTTTGCTCGCTCAGAAAGTGAATCGTGTAGCCTGCAAAAAGGTGAAACTGTAGAAGTGCTAACTTCTGATTTTACATACCCATACCGACACATGGGAACTACAGGGCAGCTTGTTGCTTTGCGGCATTCTTCTGAATGGAGTGCCTCTCGGCATGTACACACGTGTTTGAGATTCAATGAGCTGCAAACACCTTGGGAGTTACTGACCACAGTACAGCAGAGCCAAGAGCGAATGATGGAAGGTCAGCTGCGACACCTGCTTCGCTGGCAGTGTTGCTGCTCTCACCTTCTCAGGAGCTTCCCCTCTCTCCTCCCTGCCCCCAAACTAATGGCTAAAAGAAGGCCGAAATCAGGGGAAGGAAAAAGCACTGAACATTTCTTGGCAGGCCAGCAGTCACTGTGCATAATGCACTAGTATTTACACACATGTACTCTGGGCCTTCAGCTGAACAATGTGGTTAAAAGGCAGCAAAGTGTCAGCCTCCAAATATTTCTGCTCTGACTCACAGCGGCTGAGAACATGGATCCCACCTCCTCCTCCTCACTTCAAAGCACGTCTGTCCTAGCAGCAAGAGCCAGAGTTCAGCAGCTGGTTTACAGTCAAAGCAAATTCCCGCAGCAAAGGAATGAGTCGTAAGGGCCCCCACACTTCAGCAATGGAGATGGTGAGTGGAAGTTATCACTGATAAACCAGCATTCTCCAACCTCCCCCCTCCCAAGAACGATTCCTAATAACTCTCATCAGACACCTTCGCATTTCTGATCCTTGAGAATGGAGACTTTCCATTTGACTTTCAAAAGCACCATGCACTGCATTAGCCTCTCCTACTAGGTCTAAAACTAAATGAACAAAACGAACAAACAAAAAGGAGGCAGAGAAGGATATTGCACCTTAAAAGTCTGGGCTCTAAAACTGCTTTCCATCAGACAACAATCCACTGAGTGAAAGAGAGCCTTGTAAACTGCAGCTGACAGTCACGTAAAGGTGATGAACGGAATGAAGCTCACATGCATTTCTTGGCCTTTCCTGCACAGAATAATTCAGACGTAATATATAAATAGAGCAGTGAAACATTTACTTTTTCACCTAGACCTACAACATCAAATACGTATAAATAAATTCTAGTGTTTTATTCTGTTTGGGGTGGGTCAGGAGGGGGGAAGAGAGAAAGAAGGCTGATGCTTTTTAACAGGACGTACTGTAGTTCTGATGCCATTTACAACCAGAGGGGGACTGCAACGTCTTGCGTCCGGCAGTAACCTGATTTCTCCAACACACAGGACCACTTGAAAGTCACATGAGGAAGGAAAGAGGTTAGAGTCTTTGAAAAGCATTAACTGTGTCTAGGGGTGGGAAGGAGAGAGAAGAGGGGCCTGGATAAGCTCTTCAGTCAATACAGTTAAGATTCTGGGCTGATATCAGCTTGAGCCACCTGGGCAAAAAACCGGGGGAGAGCAGCGGTGGTGGAGGGAACGGGGGTAAGGAGATGACACAAAATAAACTGAGATCGATCCATTGCTCACGATGTTCCAAGATGACGAGGGGGCTGGACGAGTTACTGGTGGGGCAATCTTTGGAAAACATCTGGAGCAGGAGCAAAGGTGAGCAGATGAGGATGCGGGTTTAGGGAATTTTTGAAGGCTGGAAAGTACATCACTAAAATCTCAAACCATGTACTCTGTAGGATGCTAGAGAGCTGCTGACACTCTGCTGTGAAGTTAAAATCCACAAAACAATAAAGGAAAAAAAACATTAAAAAGAAGTACCATCCTATCCTGTTCCCTTTGGGGGTCTTTACCTGGGACTAAAGGGGACATTCACTATACCTAAGTTAGTTCAGATTTCTAGGTTCTGTCAAAGGTATTGTAGAAACATCCTGATTTATACCCAGCTCAAAACTTCGACTGCATCTCTAGAAAATTCTGAATGATTTTCACTTGTACAAAAAACAAAAACACAAACCGAAAAACCTCCCTTTCATTCAGATCCCTTCCCAAATACATTCTTTGTTCAAAATGTCGTCTTTGGAACCATCGGCAAATTATTTGCTGCCACCTAGCCCAGGCAGATGGGACAGCTGGTTAGCAAGCTATCATCTGTCGCAGAAACAACGCTTTCCTTTCCATTAACATCAGAGCGACAAGAGTCCACTCCTTGTTTTTAAAGAGCGGAGCAGTTCTTGGCTGGAGGTGGTTCAGTTTACTTAAGACTGTTGTCAGCTTTAAGACCCAAACATCTTCCAA